AGATTCCCTAATCCCATTAATGTCTTATAAAAGACATGCCACAGAGTTCCCTAGCCCCTGTACCATGTGAGGACACAGCAAGATGGCCCTAGCTCTGAACCAGGAAGAGGGACCTGACTCATATACAATCATGCTGGTACCTTGATCTTGGGCTTTCCGCCTTTAGAACTATGAGAAATGAATCTTTGTTGTTTATAAGCTACCTGATCTGTGGTAGTTTGTTACAGCAGCTTGAATGGACTAAAACACTAAGTAATGTATTGACTCTGCCCAATGCAATAGAAAGAGTGTGTGCTCACTGGGACAGCACACTGGAAGGATTGGGAGAGGGTCATCTGTCATCTGCCTCTTGTTAAAGGTCAACCTTGGCAGCAGGCTCCTGCTCCATCCCAGCTCCTGCCTTTATTCAGGGAGATGTCTGTTCCAGAAGTCGCCCTCATTTCCAGCAACCTTCCCTTCCTCCCACCTCTCACACTCTCTTCCATGGCCGTCTCTTGGACATTTCCATTGTCTGCAGCTGCTCCACCTTGAAATCACTTGGGGCACAACCTCTTACCTCTCCAGCCTGCTGGGGTGGTTGCACCGAATCTCAGCTTGCTGGGTCTCAGAACACCTCTATTCCCTTGGGCCTCCCCAGTGCTCATTTCCTAGCTTGGAGCCCACACTCCAATATTGCAACCACCCTGTTGCTAACAGCCACTTTCCAATGTGTTCAACATCAACCTACAGTAAAAAATATAATTTACATACGACATAGGGCTCATCTACATATGTATTTACACACACAGATGCATACATGGGTCTCCCCTAGCTTTAACTCGATCATAGTTACTTAAAAATCTGATCCCAGACATCAGTTCTTATAACTTTAGCCCCGTGTCTCTTCTCATCTTTACCAAGATGTCGCAAGAGTTGTCTGTATAAACTGTGCTGTTTCCTAGGGCTGCTGTAACAGATCACCACACACTTGGTGGCTTAAAACAGCACAGATTTATTTTCTTACAGCTCTGGAAATCAGAGGTCTAAAATCAAGGTTCCCTTGCCTTTTTCATTTTCTGGAAACCACCTACATTCTTGGGCTCATGGCTGCGTCACTCCCACCTCTGGTTCCACTGCCACATCTTTTTATCAACTTTGACCTTTTTAGGAGGACCTTAGTGATTATATGGAGCCTTTCAGATCCTCCAGGATCACCTTCCCATTTCCAGATTTCTAACTTAATCACAACCTCAGAGTCCCTTTTACAATGAAAAGAAACATGTTTCTAGGCTCTGCGGATGGGGATCTGGGGACATCGGTGGGAGGGCACTGTTCTGTCTACCCCAAGAACCATCTGGGATTTCCTCAATTTCCACTTACTTTTCAACCTTTTCCAACCTGGCTAGTGTCCCGACTCACCTTCCCAAGTGTCTCTCAAAAGGTCCTTGACGTCCTCTGTGTTGCTGAAAACCAGGGGTAGTTCTAATTTGTCCTTCTTCCTGACCTCTTAGCAGTTTCTGACATTGTGGGCCAATTAGAATGAGGTGTGGGAAGCACCCTGAGGTGTGAGGGCAAGTGGCCCGTCTTCATGATGGCATCTTCCACCATTACTCTAGAGTACATCTGGTGTGGATGTGATCAGCTGTAGAACATACTCCCACCACTGCCCTTGACCTATCAATCCTCCATAGGCTGCACAGTGTCTAGACTTTCTTCATTGGTTAAAAAGCTTTGGTCAGATAACTGTAGGTAAAGGGATTTTTCTAAACAGTTTTATTTACCCACCAAAAAGTGCACCTATCACAAACGTGTAGCTAGGTGAACTTTCACAAAGTAAAACATGTATCCACCCTTCAGATCGAAAAAAAGTTTTGCCAGCTCATCCTCCTGTCCCCTCCCTGTCACGAGCCCCTCTCCTCCCAAAGGGAACACTTTTCTGGGGAAGCCTGGTGGTTTTAATTTTTTTCTTTTAAATAGACTTTCATTTGTCGAATAGTTTTAGGTGCATGACAAAATTGAATGGAAGATACAGAGAATTCCGAAATACCCGTAGTCCCTATGCAGGCACAGCCTCCCCCCTGCCCCCCTGCCCCCCTGCCCCACCCCTGCTATCAACATTCCCGGTCAGAGTGGTAGATGTATTACAATGGATGAACCTGCATTGACACATTGTAACATGGACCAAAGTCCATAGTTTACCGTGGGTTCCCTCTTGGTGCTGTGTGTTCTGTAGGTTTTGACAATGCGTCACGGCTTGTGTCCATCCCCAACGTATTGTGCAGACTAGTTCTCTTGCCTTGAAATCCTCCGTGCTCCTCCTGCTCATCCCTCCCTTCCCCCAATCTTCTGATGACCGCTGTCCTTTTTTTCACCATCGCCATAGTTTTGCCTTTTCCACAATGTCATGTCGCTGGACTCGTACAGTCTGTGGCCTTTTCAGACTGGCTTCTTTCACTTAATAATATGCATCCACATTTCCCCTGTGTCTTTTTGCAGATTCATAGCTACTTTCGTTTTAGTGCTGAGTAATATTCCGTTGTCTGGACAAGCACATAGGAACTGGACTGACTCTAGAGCAGATTTTACTGGCGGGGTATCTTCTTTGTACCTCCTGGTGTTAGAACTGACACACTGGCAGAAGGGCCAAGAAGGCTTCCAGAGGCCATTCTCTGCAGTGAGCTTCTGCCTCCAGAACATCGCTCTCGGAATACCAGTATGGCGCGCAGTGGGTCACTGCAATGCACTCAGTCATGTTTTGATGTAAATGACCCTGGGGAGATCAAGTTCTGTTCACAGGGGACAGACTGCATGACAAATAGAAGAAAAGCAATGGCCCAAACAGCACAGGTTTCTTTTCCACCCATGTAATAGATTGTGGAGAAAGCTCAGAGAATCTTGTCCCTGAATCTGGGACCCAGGCCCCTTCAGTCTTGTGCCTCTGACACCCCCACAGCCTTCTCATTTCCTTCGTCTAGTTAGAGTAGCCCCTGGCCTGTTGGACAAGCCATGAAGCTGAAGTCATGCTCCCAGGATTAATTTAACATCTTAGTCGGCAGGTCATCCGGCATGGTCCTGGTGAACGACGTGGTAATGGATGGATGAGAAAGTTTTATTGATGAGTTTGAAGAGGTCCAGGGGTAGAGATACCAGCCTAGGGAGTTTTGGGGTGGGTGCTGGCCTGGAGCCGCATCAGGGTGACTCTGAGTTCCTGGTATGGCTCATAAAGGAGGCTGGAATTTTCACAACTCATGGTTTATCAAGGTCCTCCCGTGTGCCCTGAAGGAAGTTGCTGACCTGCCATTGGACCACCTAGGGGTCTCTGCCCAGCCTCTCTCAGTGGCTGGTGGGGAGCACAGTGAGAGTGAGGACATCGTTCCAACCAGCAGGACCCTGACTTACAGCCCTAGGCCCTGATGTCAGTTTTGCCGCTTGAGCCAGGGTCCGCTTTTCCAAGGGAAACCAACTCAGGGTAGCTGATTTCTTGGCCGCCTTCTTTCAAGGGTGAGAAGGGAAAAGGGAGTTGCGGTGAGAGACTTCGGGTCTGGGTTACATGTAAAGTGGGCACTCCCACTCTCGTCTTCAAGTTGGCAAGTGTGACCATCCTGTGGCAGATGTCACAGTCCCTTTCATTGTGACTTCCGGGCAAGGTCAGGGAGCTGCAGTGGGTGCCCTTTGCAGAAAACCATGGTCAGAGAGGATTTTGAAAGTTCGTCAGGGAGGACTTCAGCCCAGGCTGTCTGTGTGGGAATAGGGGAGTTCTGAAACTGCCTTCCTCGGCAACCCCTCCACCCCCGCAGAGGCCATGGGCTGCCAAAGCTGGCTCCCACACACCTCACCAGAAAGTCCCTGGCTCCCTTCCCAGCTGCCTTGCAACTGACCTCATGAGGTGTGAGAAGGAGGAAAGGAATCTACATTTCAGATGAACCTTCCTTCCTCCTTTCTGAGAAGTGGTCCAGGCCACCCACACCTGCCAGGCCATGCACACAGCTCCTCAGAGCCCAAGGCTCTGTAGCTTGTCCAGCCTGCATGAGAAGTGGCCCGGGATCCTGGGATGAGGAGCTTGTGTTAGTTTTTTCAGTGCTGCTGTAACAAAGAACTGCAGGCTGGGATGACTGAAAACAGCAGAAATTCACTCCCTGAGAGCTCTGGAGGCCAGGAGCCTCAGATAAAGGTGTGCCAGGGCCAGGCTGCCTCCGGAAGGTTCTACAGAAGAACGTTTCCTTGCCTTTTCCAGCTCATGGTGGCTGCTAGCAATCCTGGGTTCCTTGGCTTTTAGATCACTCCAGTCTTTACACAGCTGTCTTCCCTCTGTCTCCTCTCTTCTTATAAGGACATCATCACACCTGTCAAGGACCAGCCTACTCCATTATGACCTCATCTTAACTAATCACAACTGCAAGGACCCTATTTCCAAATAAGGGGCACCTGAGGTTCCCAGTGAACATGAACTTGTGGTGGGACATCGTTCAACCAGTGACAGAGCCCCACCATCCACCCCTTCCCCTCCCTTCAGCGCAGACCCTTAGCTCGTGCAGGGTGCCCTGCCTTGCTTTTCTTTCCAGGGCCCAGCAGTGGTCACCCCAAAATAAAATGGCATCCTGTCCTTCCAGGAAGGCACGGCCTAGCTAGAGGGAGATCAGAGAACCCAAATCTCTTCAGGGACAGGCATCTCCATGTCCACGGGATACCCACTTGGGATTTTTTTTCCAGCTGCATAGAAATGGTTCAGGATTTCTTGGCTCCTGGACAATCCCAAAGGGAACGAGACTTCTGAGCCTTCCAACGGGCCATTCCAGACCCAAGGTTTACAACCCAGATGGGAAAATTGGCACCTTCTCCTTTTGCTTCACCTCGAACCCGTTTTGGGGTCTTCTCCATGGGAGCTGCTAAGGAAGCTCTGTCCCCCATCTTCCTGACTGACCAACCCCTTCTCTGGGGGGAGCTGAGGTCCTCCTCTTCAGAAAGCTGGGAAGAAGAGGTGAGTTCCTGGGCCTCTAGTAACCCAGCTGAATATTTTCCAGGTTATCTAACCAAACTCCTGCAAAACCACACCGCCTATGCCTGTGATGGGGACCATTTGAATCTACAGTGCCCTCGGCATTCTACGATAAGTGTCCAATCGGCATTTTATGGGCAAGATTATCAAATGTGTAGTGCCCAGCAGCCTGCCTCCCAGAGGGAAGACGTGGCCTGTGTGGCTCCCACCACATTGCAGGTACTGCCCTTTGTAGATGCTTTAAGATGATGAAACGGTTCTCTCTCCCTCCCTCCCTCCCTCCCTCTCCCCATCACTCTCTCTCTTTCTCTGTATATATGCTTGTGATTACATAGTTCACTCACAGCAAACCTGATCCACGAAAACCTCAGTTCATACGAATCACCAATTTCACGGGTGAGCTATTTGCTTCTCAAAAGGATTCGTCACCAGACAAGTCTAAATGGAATTCCTCCCTCCTGGAGAGCTCCCTTAACTAAGACATGTGCAGTATGAATTTATCCAGAGGCGTAGTCCCCACTGTGGTAAATCCAAGTACAGTCAAGTTGGGCTTTGAACTCCGGGACCACCCCTCCCGTCGATCCCCGAGCAGAGAGGGAAAGGTGGGGATACTTTAATGGGAACCACAGGTCCCCATGGGGCTGACGGCCAAGGTCATGATCAACTTCTCAGAGAAGCACTGGAGCAAGGGAAACCTCATTCATGGTTGTTCTTCACAAAATGGTCTTCTTCTCCAGTTGTAGATGAGGACGTTATTCTGGTTTTAAGCTACTTTGGGCAGCCTCTGCTGATTTGTTCTTCTATTGGAGAGTACCAGGAATTTGCAGAGAGCACCTAATCTACCTTTCTTTCTTTCTTTCTTTCTTTCTTTCTTTCTTTCTTTCTTTCTTTCTTTCTTTCTTGTTGGCATTAAGGGAAAGATCTGGTATAGAAGGAGTCCAGAGCCAGTATTTCAATGGGGATTTTAGATTCCTCCTGGCTCTTTGATTTTTTTCAGCTACAGGAAATGTGGGCGAAGATAAATTGTTGAGGAAGACTGAGGAATAATGGAATTAGCATAAGGCTGTGTAGCTTTCCCTAAGGCCCAAAGAGAAGCCCAAATAGCATGGTCATGTAAGGATTTTTTTATTTCTCCCACCACTTGTTGCTTCCATTCCAAGCATCTTAGTATCTGGGCAGTCATGTAGTTGGTAAAGGTACCTGCTGAGTAGCCAAAAGAATGTGTCTGAGTGACTTCCCTCTCAGAGGCCATGTGTTGTTTCAGGAGATGAAGTTACTTTCCTTGTGTCCCCAACCCCATTCCGTAGCCCTGGTGGCCTGTGCCCAGTCCTTACCCAACTTCCCTTCCCACCCAGCCCCGGGCCCAGGCCATCTGCTGCTCTCCCGGGTGCATAAGATGAACACTGGCCGGTGCCAATAGGACAGGAGTGCCTGTTCTGTGACGGAGCGACCTCCTGGCACCCTGAGCTCCCATGCACAGGCGGCGCCCTCCCCACCCAGCATGGGTGCCTGGCTCTGCCAGGCAGGCCCGAGGGAAGAGGATGTTTCCATAGCCAAGCAGACAAGTTAGCATTTGTGAACCCGGCTCTGATGTTGTGCAGAAGGTTTGTCTGCCAGAGGCGTCCCTGTGCGCTGCTCTTTCATCCAGAGATCAAGAGAGCCTTTATGTCATGTCTTTTGACTGGGGCCTGGGAGCTGTGGCAAGGGGCTTCCTCTCCCTTGGAGGGAAGGTGCCCGATGTGGGAGACAACAGGTGTCAATGTCCACCCAGAAGCCCCTCAGCGGATCTGGCCCATGGCTGAGGATCACCAGGGAGGTCCCCCCCATGCGGTTTTCAGCCGTGACACAGTTCGGGAACAGCCCTGCCTTGAGTCCTGTGCTGTGGCTGTGATACGTACATTGGAGCCCCCCAGGGGCTGAGTCATTTCATGATGACCCTCGGCCACGAGAACGTGTCCCGTCATCTGAGGGTCCCCAGGGTTTCCCCTGGACGTGTTTCCTGATTTCATACACGTCCGTTGGACCCCTTGAGGGACTACCTGGTAGGGCCACGGAGCTGCGCCATGAGCTACTAGGAGAGCACAGTGACTCGGACAGCCTCGTGACTGCGCCAAATTCAGTCCAATGGAATAAGTAAATTCTTGGGAAATGTTCACCGGACTTGGTGTCCTTTTAACAGACCCCGAGTGTAAGTCTTCTGTGACTGTCGTGGGCTCCATTTGGAAATGGAAGAGGGGCAGTGAGGTGCTAGGCTCCTCTGGGACCCCATGTAGGGTCCTCTGCGAGCTTCTTTGGACCAGGTTCATTCACAAAGGAGTGAGTTGCCCGGAAAAAAATTGAGAGCAAGAGACAGTTGAGGGAAAATGTCTAAGCCCAATGCTCACCAGCAAAGCCTGAGCATTCCACAGAGAAAATCGCTCCAAAGGGAACACATGGGTCCTGTGCCCTTGAGGTTGGCAAGGGTGGGAATCAGCTTTTCAGTTTTTATCAGTTGGCCCGTGTTTGGGTTGGGTCTCCAAGGCATCCCCCAAACACTGAGTAGTTCTCTGTGGTCTGTGCCCGGCTGTTTTCTGCGGCTGGAGAGCTCTGGCTGTGATTCCTGACCCCCACAGCTCTCTCGCAGCCCTCCCGGGAGGGACCTCCGAGGCCCGTCTCACCCGCTCTCTGAGCTTCTCAGATCCTGCCCACATTTCCTGGGGTCTCCGCGATGCGGAACTTTTGCCGAAACCGTGCACAGCACTTCCAGCTGAGATAGATGGGGGGCCGGTGTTCCGATGGGGTCTGCCACGGGTGGGTTAGGTGTCTTATTCTGGGAAAGACGGGGAGACAGGGAGCAGACCTGATCACGCCTGTATGCGAGCTCTCGGCTTGGACCCAGCTCAGCGCAGCTCGAAGGTTCTTTGGGTGGACACCCAGGACAGACAGATGGAGCCCAGAGCTGCCAGGGTGTGGGATCTCCCAGACACTGTGTGTGGTTTTCAAGCCTATCCCTTTTCTACCCCCTCATTTTAGAAGGTGCTGGACGAATGCCAGAACCAGCGGGCCTGCCACCTCCTGGTCAATAGCCGTGTTTTCGGACCTGACCTTTGTCCAGGAAGCAGTAAATACCTCCTGGTCTCCTTTAAATGCCAACCTAGTAAGTAATGTCTGAGGGGCACAGTGTGTTTCGGGTGTGGCTTCCCTGTTTCATTCACAGCCCTCACGGGGGATCTCTGCCAGAGGGTGTTAGTCCTGCTTAGAAACTTGTTAATAGAGATGTCCTACCTGTTTTTGTAATAGTTTATGTGTATTTGTGTGTGTGTGTGTGTGTGTGTGTGTGTGTGCACCCATATACCCACATGCATTCTTACAAACCCCTGAGTTTAAAGAATCCTTCCTGGTATGTAAACCCCAGTTGTACCCATGCTAAAGCTATCAGGGGTGGCAAGAGGCTGTAATTGCTTTCCCCCCAAACGAAGAGCCACTTAGGAAGCCCACCGCCAGCTGCGGGGCTCCTTGCTCTCACGAGAGGGCACAGCTGCCCCCCCAGAGCCCCTGGTTCCAGATCTCCATGAACTCACCTCTTTGCTTTCACTAAAGCAGGGGCTCCGTACCCAGTGTCTCGTCCTCGAGGAGAAAGAAAGTGGAAAGTGCTCTGGCTGGAGCAGCCTCCTCCACTCTGATTCTCGCCTTTCTCTCTCTGGTGACTTGTATCATCTGTAAAGTTGATAGCAAGTTAGTTTTGTGATCAACCCATTGCCAGCCAAAAGGAACTGCTTTCTGGGGAGCAGGTCACACTTACGGGCATGGCGGGCCAGCCCGAGAGACGCCACAGGCAACGGCAATGTTAGAGGCTCCTAGGAATCCTTGAAAAAAATGTGTTGAAAAGAAAACAGTGTTATAGCAACAGCGTTTAACCAAAGAATTATATATATGGCCATCCCAACACATTGTTTTTGGGTTTTTGCCTTTTGTTCTCTGTGGGTTTCTGCCTCTGGAGCCCAGCAGCTTCCCATTGGCAGCCAGGCTGCCGGGGGTGGGTGAGGCTTCGGGTCACACGCGTGTCGCGTGTGGTCTCCAGGGCGCACTTGCAGAGAAAGCACGAGATCCTCTCAGCAAATATCCAGCTTTGCGTCTTTAACCCTTTCCTTGCTGGGGCCCGGATACCTCTGAAAGGCCCCTCTGGCTCTTCCCCCACACTGGGTGTTCAAACGCACGTTCACACTCACACACACATACACACCACCACACACTTATAGGGTATGCACAGTCGCTCATACATACACAATAGCACGCCTGTGTATGCTGTCACATGCATAGACACTGTCGCACACATACTCATGATCACAAAGACCCAAAGCAAGACCCCAACTTTGCACCCCGGCCGGGGTCTCCCCAGGAAGTCAGGAAGTCATGGCAACTCCTGCCTCACTCGGACACATCCCTTCTAGATCCCTGTGTTCTCAGTCATGTCCTTCCCATGGCTAAGTCTCCAAAGCAGCCGTCCTTGTCCTCCTTCCGTGGTGGGGAAGACAACCATCTTTTAAAGTGGCCCTTGTTCACAATGTCAAGGATTGGAGAATCCGGGTGGTGGGAATATGCCCATCTATTGTGATATTCCCTCACATTTTTTATACGTTGGAAGTTTTTCATAATCAAAAGGTCCTTTTAGAGAACCAGCCTCTAAAAGAGGTAAAAAGACCCTTGTGAGATTGGCAGAACTTTGACTCTAAGTCAGTGCTGGACCACAGCCTTATTCCCGCACGGAGCAAGTAGGTCTGATCGCTGATTTTGTTTCAGCAAAACACTTATGGAGCCTCTGCTGTACACAGGTGTCAGGCCAGCTGCTGGGCGTGAAGACAGCTCTCGGGTTTTGCAGAAGTTTCTTAGATGGGGTTCCGTGTGGGACAGCTCTCAACCTTCCTTCGTGTAGCACCATTTACTGCATCTTCACACAGCTGCTTCCCTGTTGTCCTTTAGGTTCTAGCAAACGTCACCTTTCTCGGGAAAGACCAGACCTGTCCAAAAAACATCTCAGCGGGAGCCCTGCTGTCTTGGTACTGGGCAGGTCCATCTGGGCGAGTTGACCCCAGCAGGGGTGCAGAGAAGGCATTCCTGGCAGGTGATGGTGGGGCTGAGGACTGCAGGTTGAGGGGTGAGCATAGAAGGAGCGCTCCGTGCAGAAGCCTGTGGCCAGAAGGAGCAGGGGGGAGCAAGCAGGAGCACTTGCCAGGGAGCCATTGCAGGATCCCCGGGGCCCTGATGGCCAAGGAAGGAGGTGGATTCCTTCTTTAAACAGGGAGGGCGTGTGGCTGGGGTTTTAAAATGGCCTCTGGTTGCCCTGTGTGGTAATAGATTAGAGGCCGAGCCCTTGTGTCTTAGTCTGTTCGAGCTAGTGTAACAAAATGCTGTAAACTGGGAGTCTTACAATCAACAGAAGTTCATTTCTTGTTGTTCTGGGGACTGTGAAGACCAAGATCGAGGTGCTGGCCAATTTGTTATCTGCCGAGGGCCCCTTTCCTCCACCAGTGGTTGTCTTTTTGCTCTAACTACCTTGGCAGAAGGGATGAGAAATCTCTCTGGGGTCTCTCTCATGAAGGGCACTAATCCCCTTGTGACCCAAGCCCCTCCCAAAGGCCCAACCCCCTAACATAGTCAAGTTGGGCATTAGGATTTCAACCTGAGTTGAAAGGGGACGCAGCGGTTTGGACCAGAGGACTTTGGGTAACAGAGACATCGGTGACCTGAGGTCCTGCAGGTTAGGAGATGACCCTACTGGTGCTGTGAGTGGGGAAGGAGGAAGGGAGGGGCCCCCGCATGCTCCAGACTCTTTTTCTGCCACCCTCCTTGCCCAGAGGACCTTTGTCTCCGGTGCCAGCCCGAGCGTGACACTGATTGTTCGAAGGGGTACCCGGCTGAACCCAGGGCTACGGGGACCCAGCCCTCATCCCAAGTGCCAGCTATGCACATCTCTCCCCAGCCCTGCCTGTGGGCAGTGAAACCTGCCACCGTGGGAGCCTTTACGCCAGGGAGCTGGGCCAACACCGCCTACCGGGGCTGGCCTGTTGGCTGGTCTGGGAGCTGTTTTACAGGGACGCTGGCTCCGTGAATCAAATGTCAAGTGAGGATAATGCACTTCCCGCACAGGGTAAGGAGTGTGTGAGTACAGTGATGTGTAGACGGAAAACTACAGTGCGGTTTGTAAGAGGCTTAGCCTGGGCTTGTCATGCGGGTGCCCTCAGGGACCAGCGGCCATCATTCCAGGGGGCAGATTAAAGTCATCCTTGCTGAGGATGGGAGTAATTGGAAGGCAGTGAGACACCAGGTGTTGAGGGGCTGGGCTGGGGTCTGCCCCTGGTGCAGGCAAGAGCAGGACATACTGCCTGTAGAGAATTAAAAACACATACACACACACACACACACACATTAAAAGTGACTAAGTCTCTGTGTGTTGAGAACATCACCATGCGTGACCATCCTAAGGAACATCAGTGATCGCACGTTCTCATCACGGGCAGGTGACGTTGCCCACCCCGCTTTGAAGGATCCTGTGGATATGCAGGCGCATATCTGTGTTATTAAGGACGACCTGCCTAGCCCCTGCTTGGCAGAATTGGGGGGGGTCTTGTTACTCTTGTCCTTGAAGAAGAGTCCTGGTGGTCCTTCTGCCCGGGCTCCTATCACTCTCCCCGTCCACACCCATGAGGAAGCTTCTGGAAGGCTCCCCACACCCTACCCCTGCCCCGCCCCACCTTGTCTAATTTGAGGCCATCGAGCACTCTCACCCAGCTCTAAAACAAATTCTTTCTCTACCCAAAGTAGCAATTTGTAGCCGTCTCATTGTTTTTAGGACCCAGAAGTGTCACTCTTAGGTGACAGTGAATTAGCACATTCCCAAGGAACCAAGTGACTCAACATCACACAAGCTAACCCCAAGCATGTAATGTGACACTCACAGGCCCCTCCATTCCAGGAGATGATTGGCCCGTAATCTGGGGACAGCTACACCGGACGCCTTAGAATACAGGTGTTGTGTTGCTCTGGGTGAGTTTGGCCCGCATGGAGACCTCCTTCAATGAATGGGCCTTAGTACCTCCGAGAGGTGGTGGCTGAGAAGTACACATCATGACAAGCCTTGAAAAATCTCTTCTAATTTTTAAAAATTCTGAGAAAGGAAGGAAGGAAGGAAGGGAGAGAGAGAGGGAAGGAAAGGAAAGGAGGAGAAGGGAGGGAGGAAGGAAAAGGAAGGAAAAGAAAAGAAAAGGAAAAGAAAAAAAGAAAAGAAAAAAAGCCAATCCTGTTGAAAAGGAAAGCTTCTAATTTGCTAGATTAGGCTTGATTTTCATCCTTTTTGGCGAGCTTTGCCACTGGAAGGCATTCTTAACATTCTTTAGTATTCTCCCAGTCAGATGGGGGCTTGGACTCTCTTGGTGTGTCTACCCATGCCCTCTGTTCTGCATCAAAGGCCATCGTTCATTCTGGGACTTTGAAGTAAGGCAGTATTTTGGTGTTGGTGGGATTTAGCATTTACTCGCCAAAAACACTGAAAACTTCACCCCAGTGCGGATGTGACTCACCAAAATCAAACCCTCCGATGTCAGGGTCAGACTCAGTGTCCTTTCTGTTTAACAAAAGAAAACAAAGCTTTTCTTGGCATTAGGTTTAAACTGTTGTGTGAAAATTCCAGTGATCGGGTGAAGGGCATTCTAGACATTGCTTTGTCACCACTTAGATTTTCCCTCCTCTGTTAGTTCCTCGTGTGTTCAACCACAGGCATCTGCAACCCGGTTTCTGTTTCATGCCTTTCATTAATTTGAGTGTTCCATCATCACAGATTAAGAGACTGTGCCAAAATTTATCAGCTGATGGTATACTGAGATCCTGAATTTCCAATCTCAATCTGAAGTGAGATTTCCTCACTGTTCTTCTCTTGGTGTAGAAAGGCACAGGCATTCACACGTTACAGAAAAAGGTAGACTTTACATTTGGGGAATATTTTCTTTCTTTTCGTTTTAAGTTTGGGGCTTGAGCATCAGCGATGCCAGGATATGGAAGTCCCATGGCCAGGTCACTGTTGCCCTAGTGTTTACCCCTCCTGACTTCCTGGAAGGCTTCTCAGGGGATGCTTTCAAATTGGTTTGATTACAAGGCATAGTAAGGAAAAGTTTTACATTTTGGCCCAGCACAACACACACACACAACTCAAAAGATTTTTTTTAATTATAAAATAGTGTTATTCCTTGTTTGCATGATGCATTTTTTAAAATATTTTATTTATTTATTTGACAGACAGATCACAAGTAGGCAGAGAGGCAGGCAGAGAGAGAGGGGGAAGCAGGCTCTCTGCTAAGCAGAGAGCCCGATGCGGGGCTCGATCCCAGGACCCTGGGATCATGACCTGAGCCGAAGGCAGAGGCTTAACCCACTGAGCCACCCAGGCTCTCCATGCATGATGCATTTTGATGCTTTCTAAACTCTTCTTTTTTTTTTAAATTGCAGGTCACAAATGACTAAACTGATTTTCTGAATAGAATAGAATAGAATAGGCCTCAAATCACAGTTTGAAAAACTTTTGCTTGAGGTGTATGAGGGATCTGGGGGGGGAATGGCCTGCACCTTCCATCCATAAACATGAGTGAGTCAGAGAAGTGAAAGTGGGGGTTGGGGAGTGGTCACGGGGGGTGGTCATAGGGGATAGTCTTTGGGGGTGGCCATGGTGGTGGTGGTCATCGGCGTCGTCATGGGGAATGGTCATAGGGTGGGAATGGAAAATGGCCATGGAGGGTGGTCATGGAGGAAGGTCATCGGGGTGGTCATGGGGTGTGGTCTTTGGGGGGTGGTCACAGTGGTAGTGGTCATGGGAGTGGTCATGGGGGGTGGTCATGGGGAATGGCCATAGGAGGGGTAGTAACGGGAGGGATAGTCGTGGGAGAGTAGATATGGGGGGTGCTATTTTTCTTTCTTCTTGACACTTCCTTCCTCCCCATCCCAGACAGTCCATGGCAGCCTGAGTAGCTCCTATGATTTAGCTCCTGTTGGCTTGTTTGGCTGAAAAATGTTCCCATTTGCTCTGCAGTTGCCATTTCAAAGTAGAAAAATCTAGGAGTAATACAGGATCTTTTTTTTGTTTTTCCCTTTCAAAATGTTGGGGAGGTGGGGAGAGGAGAACCATACATGCAAACAAATGACCATAGTCTCCTTTGTGTTTTGCTTTGTTTTGATTTTGCAAAGTTTAAGGTAAGTGGCAGACTAGGAAAAGATACTTGTAACACCTAATAGAGGAAAGTTAGCATCCAGAACATAGGAATCACTGCTACAGTGTCTAAAAATCCAAAACACAACACACCAAGGATATGAAGAGGGGGTTCCCAAGAGAGCTGTTCTGAAGATCAGATTCACTGATACATTTAAAGATCTTAGAACAGGGCTTAATCCAGAGGATGAGCTCAGTAAATAGTAGCTTTTGTAATTTTTGAAATATCTCTATTGAAGCACGATTCACATAGCATAAATTTCACTGATTTTAAGTGTGCCATTCAGTGATTTTCGGCAAATGGGCTGAGTCATGCCACCATCACCACTGTCCAGCTGTAGAACATTTCCATCATCTCAAAAATGTCCTGTGTTCATTGTTGTCATTTCCCTTTGATCCCAAACCTCAGCCCCAATAGGGGCTGTCACCTACATTCTGTCTCTATGGGCTTGCCTTTCCTGGAGATCTCAACAAAATAGAATCATACAATACCCGATCCTTTGTGTCTGGAGTGTTAACGATGATTGCTTTTAAAAATCAAATCATTATGAAAAAAGGTTATTAATGGAATGCTTTTCCAGTATGTTCTTAAAAAAAAAAAACAATCAACTATATTTTCATCGGCAGTGCATGTACAATGTGAATGCTGTGTGACATTGCGAAGGGAAATGTTACTGTGGTCAGTGAATTACACAGACACACAGACCTTACCCTAAATTCTTTGGGAACAAACCTGGTGCGGGTTGTCATAAGGTAGCACAGACCACAGCAGCCGAGCGTCGTTTGCTCCTGGATCACCAGACTGGGGGCAGGAAAAAGGGACTCTTCACAAGACACATGCCCTGTTCTTTCCCTTTCCTAGCCAAGGAAATCATTTGCTTTTACATCCTCTCTCTTTTTATATATGGAAATGGAGGTGCTAGGATATTAGGAAATCTGGTGGTGAGGTTTTATTGGGCTCTCTCCAGAAGTTTAATCTGCAATCAGGTAATTCCTGATCTTTACCCATGTGGGTCCAAGTCAACATTTGAGGAAAGGCTCCCTTCAATTAAGGAATGTGTGACCTCAAGTGGAGAGGGAGAGAGAGAGACATCCGTTATCCTTTATGGCCAGACCCATCCCCAAACCGAGCCCAACGAGGCCAGTGAGCCCTGTCTTCCCCTATACTTGGCCCCGGTCTCTTCTGCCTGCCTCTTCCTGTCATTCCCACCTCTTCCTGCAGAGGGCTCTTATTCCAGGGTCAGACCCCACCACCGGTGGGGCTGTTCCCACTGTCCTTCCCAGGAAGCAGCTCCAGGGGGTGGATGAGTGGCCAGGGGTTGGGCAGAGCTCCCGGATTCCTCCTGAGGAAAGCTGATGGTTCCGCTGATTTTTGTTTCTGCTTCAGATGAATTAAAAAACAAAACCGTATGTGAAGACCAAGAGCTGAAATTGCACTGTCACCCTTCCAAGTTTCTCAACATCTACTCGGCGAGCTACGGCAGGAGGACCCAGGAGAGGGACACCTGCGCCTCAGAAGCAGAGCGGCTCCCCCCCTTTGGTATGTGGCTTCATGGGGCTATCTGATTCGGTGCCAAGGGGATTGGGACTCTGGATTAGAGGGAAAGTCAAGGGCAGGGGGGAAAAACCCCCAGGGTGCCACCTCCTTCTGCCCCACGTTCCCAAATTTGTCCATTGTTTAGTTGTTTCACATCAAGTAGTTATTGAGCACCAACTGTATGCAGGATCCTGTTCTATGGGTGGAGGAGTCGTCAGTGACCAACAGGGTCTTCATGGAACTTCATGGAATTTCCAGCTGTGCAGAAAGTGGTCGTGAGAGAATGAACAAATGAAAGGAGTTTACTCATTGTATTTCAGGTGCACACAAGTGCTAAGGGGTAAACCACACTGTGGAAGGGAAATAGGGGAGGCTGGGGTGTGCTTCAGAGAGGGTCATTGCAGGGTCACTGGCATGCTGAGCAGAGACTTAAAGGAGGAGACCTGCGGATACCTGGGGATGGCGTTTGGGTAGAGAGAAGAGCCTGGACCATAACTGGTTGTGTAGGGTTGAGGCAAGCTCAGGGAGTCATTCTTCTTAGGGGTCTGCAGTCTAGAGCCGAGAGGTGATGGCCGGGATGTGGGGCTGGAAGCTGCCCCCATCGAAGTCACCCGATATTATGATTAGTCAGGGCTTCCCAGAGAAACAGAACCAACAGGACAGACATGCATATATTTGGAAAGATTGATGCTAAGGAATTGGCTTACATAGTGGTGGTGCTTGGCAGATCCGAAACCTGTACGGTGGGTTGGCAGTCTGGGAACCCAGGTAAGACTTGGTGTTCAGTCTTGAGCCTGAATTCTGTGGAATGGCAGGCTGGAAGCAGGCAGATTTTCTGTGCTGCAGCCTGGAGGGAAATCCATTTTTCAGAAAACCTGTCTTTGCCTTTCAGGCCTTCAACTGATTGGTTGAGGCCCACCCCCATCAGCAAGAGTAATCTGCTTTACTCAGAGTCTACTTTGCATGTGAAATGTTAGTCCTAGCTTTAAAATATCCTCACAACCACATCTAGACTGGTGATTCATCATAGCGTCGTTGAGTTGAGACATAAAATTAACCATCATATACCCCAGTCTCCAGTGGAGAAGCCGCCCGATCTCTACCCTCCATATTACCCAAGAGAATGGGCCCCAAGGGGACATAGCACAGAAAGCTGCACTTGACTCACCAAAATCTAAAATGAGCTCCAAGGAGGGCACGTGATGTGATGAGCACTGGGTGTTATATGCAACTAATAAGTCATTAAACACGACCCCCAAAACTAATGATGTCCTATACGTTGGCCAATTGAATTTAAATTTAAAAAAATAATAAAAAATGAAAATAAAATGAGCTCCAAAATGTACTAAACTGCTACACTCACATGTGAAATTAAACATTAATTTTAAAAAGAAATTCGTATAAAACCAATATCTCAGATCTGGGGAAAAAAAAAAAAAAAGAACATAAAGTGACTGACTGTCCAGGCAAACGCTCAGGCAAGACTAGAGAGAGAACAAAAACGAGTTCAAGAGGAACATGTGCCCCCACCCCCCGCCAAGGCCCCCAGCCCAGTGTTCTGGGAAGAAAGGCCCCTCAGCGGCTGATGGCAGAGGGTCCTCTAAGGGCAAAGACAGCCCGAAGTGGGCATCTGGCTGCACTGGATTAGCTCTGGGCAGAGGACTCCCGTGTAACGGGCTTGGCTGCCAAATGGGGCAGTGAGGTCCTTGTGGGCGTGGCTTCCCGTTGTACATCCTGGCACCACCCCATGCCCCACACCCTGGTGAATGACCTGGGAGTTCCTGACACTCCAGTCTCCCTCGCATGTAACCCTTGCGTGTTTTCAGAACATCTTAACCCACTCCTGCCTTGGTCCCACTGCTGCCTCAGCTCAGGGACCACTGCCTGGTCATTGCAGTCTCCCTGCTCCCCGGCTGGCCTTCCCCTCACCCCCAGGTGGCCAGAGGCATCCTTCTGAAAGGCCAGTGTGATCCCTGTTCTTCCAAACATCCTGCAAGGACACTTCTTATGATCTGGTCTCCTCGGCTGGGTAAGGGGCCCTTGGTGATCTGACCTATTTCTGCAAAAAAGGGGCTCTCCTTCTTGATACTGGGGTGGGGTACCCCATTTCTCAGGCTTGTGAAATCTAACTGAGCCACCTGTGTTTGAGGAGGCGGCAGTAAGCTCCATCTATTTCAGTTGTTGTTTTGAGCAGAAGTCGGTCTGCCAAGCAGAGGGACAGGTACGCAGGCTGATTTATGTACCGTGGGTCGCGCTGCCTTAGGTTCCTGGGAAGCTGGGAGTGGGGCTGAAAGGGAAACGTAACCAGCCAAAGAAAATCTTAGCAGACATCATGGCTAAAGCACAGGTTTCCATAGAGACTTCGAGGAATCCTTCGGTCAGCCAGCTGTGCTCATGCCACGAATAACCCTTGTGGCCGCGGTAAGGTCTCTGAATGGAGACCATGCCCCTTGCTCAGGGGTTCAGTTTGAAATGTCTGAGCCCCAACAGAGTCTCCCGGCAGAAACAACCTGCTCATCCGGCCCCCATCCCCTCGCATCCCTCACGGTCAAGGGCTCCCGTCCCTCGCCCGTGGACTACACATTCAGGAACCGCTGCGTCCTGCCCCTGCACTCTGCAGGGGAGAGGCTTGCAAGGAAGAGCAGAGGCCCTTGGGAGGGCTCCTCATCCTCAGTTCACCGCCAGCCTCACGCAGAGGCCTGGACTGTGCCCGCCTTCCAGGTCAACATCAAGGCCAGACCCTTGCACGTGTGCGTACAGACCACTGGCTGCCCGTGCTGACGTATCTCCCCCGAGTGCTGCCAACTCATTCCCTCCTTGGCCCCAGGGAGACTCTACGTAAGGTTTTAACCTGCGCTGAGTGTGTTCTCCCCACCGAGCCGTCCTTGCATCCCCCTTGCGTAGACACACTTTACCATTACCCCCCTTTAGCCCACCCGCCTCCTGCTGACTCGCCCGCACTGAGTACCTCTCACCGGCTCTGCTCCCCGCTTCTGCGCATCTCTAACCTGGACCACCCAGACCACCTCCGGACTGGCCTCTCGGCCTCCCTTCTCCCCAGTTCCCTCCCTCAGTCCCTTCCTCACTTAGCAGCCGGAGAGACATTATTACAATAAATCAGATCATAATACCTGCCCACCGTAATTAGAATCCATCCGTTCTCCACCTGTGGGTGTGTCCGCCCTTCCCTTACAAACCGTGGATGGGGCACTGCACCCTCACTCATAGCCTGGGGTCTTTGCACAAGCTCTTCCCTTGGCCTGGAATGTTCTCACCCCACCATCCAGGAATCAAGTCAGCCGTCCTTCTCGGACGAGGTTCCTGGGGCTCCCTGCCAGCGTGGGACCTTGTCTCTGCAGTGCCAAGCGGTCCCCCTCTTGGAGTGTCTTCATATCACGGAAACCATCACTTATCTGCCTCAGGTCTCTTTCCCCAGGGGAGGGCAAGCGCTCGTAGACATGGTGTCTGCAGAATTCCCAGCATCCCGAGCTGTGCCTGGCACAGAGTGGGTGTCCACGTGAATCCTGATGTGCGTGAATGAATCAGAGCCCCTCCTAAGGGAGGTGTCCACACAGGGCTCCCACAGGTGCAGGTCTGGTGTCGTCATGGCTTCTGACCCCTCATGAGATGCTGGAAATCTGGACTCTTTTTTTTTTTTTCTTTTAATGTGAAATGTTCCAACTTTTAAAACAGTGTGTGAGCCAAACAAAACATGCCTCCGGGCCACATCCGGTCCCTGGGCGGCCAGTTACTAAGTTACTATGGCTTGGCCACATTCACTTTGAAGAAGAGAAAAACGCTATTCATTCTCAACCCTGGGACCTGACATGAGCTTGGTGGGATGACTATCGAGGGCCGGGGGGTCAGGCCTCACCGTGGCCTCTGGAAGGTGATGGGTGTACCTTTCCTCTCGGGCATAAGCTGCTGTCTGGTGGAACCGAGAATTCTCCAGCCTCCGTGCCTCCCAGGCAACACGCATGGTGAAAGCCGGCTGGGCCCCAGCGAGGTCAGGAAGCACTGCTGAGCGGGGCTTTTGTTCCCAAATACTGAGAGGTCATTTCCAGTTCTTTCCTAAAGGTGACTGGTGGGATCCCTGTTAGTGTACTGCACCAGAGCCCTAAGGACATTTAAGCGACATAAGAAAACAGTGCAGCCATAAATGTTACCCATCAAATGAGAAGCTTTTTCCTTCTCAGGGTCTTCTCCAAGTCCTGATATCTGAGCGTAGGACCGTTTTTACATAATGGCAATTCTAAAACAGATACATTTGATTCACTTGATACATTTGATTCATACATTTGATTCATACATTTGAAATGTAACTTTATACCCTGGGTGGTCTCCCACGTGTCCAGCCAAATGCCAACAATGCCAGTCATTTCTTCATATCTTGTTGAAGGGATGTAGCATATCACGTAATTAACCATGCCCCAGTGGCTGGTGTATTTTACTGCTTCTGATCTTCAAATATTCTAAGTGATGTATGATGAACTTGTGCTCGTAGCATTTTCTTTCCTCCGGGTTGTTTTCTTGGGATAAATTCCCAGAAGTTTTATACTGAAAGAGGGTGTGGGCATGTTTACAATTCTTTAAGTGTATCCCCAGACTTCTTTCCAAAAACTTCTTGTTCCAATTTATGTGTGTAAACAGCGACGTACACTCCTAAGTTTCCTTGCAACTCTGGTAGAGGCATGTATGATTTTTCTTCGTGGTTCCAATTTAATAGATGTAAAACAGTCTTCTTATTTGCCTTTCTTTGTCTATGAATGGCTTTGAACATTTCCCATGTTTTTGTGGCTCTTGTATTTACACTCGCTCCCACTATCTCTCTAGCCTTTGTCCTTTTTTTCACCCCCTGGTGGGACCCTTATTATTATTTTTTTCATAAATTTTAACATGACAGAGGAAAGATGTTAATCCTTGACATGCTTTTTCCTGCTGCCAGTCTCCCACCCCACAGTATATTTTTTTCTGGACTTACAGTTTTGTTTTGTTATAGGCTG